TCCTGGGCTCAAGCTAGTCTCCTGCCTCAGCCTCCCAAGTAGCTGGGACCACAGGCGCCCACTACAATGCCCGGCTTTTTTTTGCTTGCAGCCGTCATCGTTTGGCCGGCCCCAGCTAGATTCGAACCTGCCACCTTAGTTGTATGTGGCTAGCGCCTTAGCCACTTAAGCCACAGGCGCCAAGCCATGAGACTCTGTCTTAAAAAAAGAATTTTGTATCCAGGCAGCACCTGTAGTTCAGTGGGTAGGGTGTCAGCTACATACACCCAGGCTGGCAGGTTCAAACCCAGCCCAGGCCTGCCCAGTGATGACAACTGCAACAACAACAAGAATAGCCTTGCTAATATTATTGTTATAATGTTTTTTGTAACACTTTTCCCTGATCAGTTTGTCCTACTTTATTTATGATCAATATCATCTAGGCCAGGTGTGATGACTCATGCCTGTAATCCCAACACTCTGGGGAGGTTCAGGCAGATGGATTGCTTGAGCTCAGGAGTTCAAAACCAGCCTGAGCAAGAGCAAGATACTATCTCTACTAAAAATAGAAAAATTAGGTGGGTATTGTGGCAGGCACCTATAGTCCCAGCTACTCGGGAGGCTGAGGCAAGAGGATCACTTGTGCCCAGGAGTTTGAGGTTGCTGTGAGCTATGATGCCACAGCACTCTACCTAGGGTGACAGAGTGAGACTCTGCCTCAGGAAAAACAAAAAAAAGGAAGAAAAACAAGTGAAGATGCTTGTCTATGACCCAACAGAATTCTACTTCCAGAATGTATTTTCCTACAGTGGCATGAATAAACTAGTATGTCCATAAGAAAGCTACACAATAGTTAAAATGAAGGTATTAGGTTGAAACACGAAACTGCTTGTTTCACATGGTTTGACCATGTACTAGAGCTATATCTATCAACATATATATCTGTCTGACCTTACTATTGAGAGAAAAGTGTCAAATTACAAAGAACACTTAGAACTCAACAGTGCGAAAATGAACAACCCAGTAAAGAAATGGGACAAAAGATCTGAATATGTACCTTGCCAAAGAAGATCTACTGATAAACATGGAAAAGATATTTAGGTGGCACCTGTGGCTCAGTGGGTAGGGCACCAGCCCCATATACCGAGGGTGGTGGGTTCAAACCTAACCCTAGCCAAACTGCAACAAAAAATAGCTGGGCAGGCACCTGTAGTCCCAGGTACTCGGGAGGCAAGAGAATCGCTTGAGCTCAAGAGTTTGAGGTTGCTGTGATCTGTGACACTATAGCACTCTACCGAGGGCAATAAAATAAGACTCTGTTCCTAAAAACAAACAAAAACCATGAAAAGATATTCAATGTATGTCATTAAGAAATTAAAAATTGGGGCTCGGCGCCTGTGGCTCAAGCGGCTAAGGCGCCAGCCACGTACACCTAAGGTGGCGGGTTCGAATCCCCAGCCCGGGCCCGCCAAACAACAATGATGGCTGCAACCAAAAAATAGCCGGGCGTTGTGGTGGGCGCCTGTGGTCCCAGCTACAGGCTGAGGCAGGAGACTTGCTTGAGCCCAGGAGTTGGAGGTTGCTGTGAGCGTGATGCCACGGCACTCTACCCAGGGGGATAGCTTGAGGCTCCGTTTCAAAAAAAAAAAAAAAAAAAAAAAAGAAATTAAAAATTGGCTCGGTGCCTGTGGCTCAAGGGGCTAAGGCGCCAGCCACATACACCTGAGCTGGCGGGTTCGAATCCAGCCCTGGGCCCACCAAAACAACAATGACGGCTGCAACCAAAAAATAGCTGGGAGTTGTGGCAGGCGCCTGTGGTCCCAGCTACTTGGGAGGCTGAGGCAGGAGACTTGCTTGAGCCCAGGAGTTGGAGGTTGCTGTGAGCTGTGATGTCACAGCACTCTACCTAAGGGGATAGCTTGAGGCTCTGTCTCAAAAAATAAATTAATTAATTACAAATTAAACAATGGGGCAACTCCTACATACCTACCTATGAGAATAGATAAAACCCAAAACACTAAACAAAACAAAACAAAACACTGACAACACCAAATGCTGGTAAGGACATGGAGCAACAGGAACTCTCATTCCTTCTTGGTGGGAATGCAAACTTTGGAAGACAATGGTTTCTTTTCTTTTTTTTTTCTTTTTGAGACAGAATCTCAAGCTGTTGCCCTCAGTAGAGTGCTGTAGTGTCACAGCTCACAGCAACCTCAAATTCTTGGGCTTAAGCGATTCTCTTGCCTGAGTAAGAGAATTGCTTGAGGGGTAGCCGGGACTACAGGCGCCCACCACAACACCCGGCTATTTGTTGTTGTTGAATTGTGGTTTAGGTGTTTTTTGAACCTGCCAGCTACAGTATATGTGGCTGGCGCCGTAACCACTATGCTACAGGCGCTGAGCCAAAACAGTGATTTCTTAAAAAAGTAAACACTCTCACCATATGATTTAGCAACCATGCTCTTGGTATTTACCCAAGTGAGTACAAAAGTTATATACAAAAACCTGCACATGGATGCTCATAGCATCTTTGTTCATAATTACCAAAATTTGTAAGCAACCAAAATGTCCCTCAGTAGGTGAATGGATAAACAAACTGGTATGTCCAGACAAAAGAGTATTATTCATTGCTAGAAAGAAATATGCTATCAAACCAGGAAAAAAACATGAAGCTTAAATGCATATTACTAAGTGAAAGAAGCCAATATGAAAAGACTACGTACTGTGTGATTCTAGCAATGAGATGTTTTAGAAAGGGCAAAACTTATGGAGACAGTAAAAGATTTGCTGCCAGGGGGTTGGAGAGACAAGGGACAAATAGGTGTAGAGATTTTTAGAGCAGTGAGACCATCCTGAAAGGTACTATAATGGTAGATACATGGCACTGTGCATTTGTTAAAATCCATAGAACTTACTACACCAAGAATGATCCCTAATGTAGACCATGGACTCCAAGGCATAGGGTTGTGTCCATATAGGCCCCTCAGTTATAACAAACGTGCCACTCTAGTGCAGTATGTTGATGGTGGGGGAGGCTCTGTGTGTTGTGGGTATTGAGGTATATGGGAATTCTCTATACTTTTCCCTCTGTCTTGCTGTGAATCTAAAACTGCTCTAAAAATATAATCTACATTAAACCAAATTACAGGGCTTTGTCTGTGGCTCGGTGGGTAGGGTGCTGGCCCCATATACCAAGGGTGGCGCGTTCAAACCCGGCCCCAGCCAAACTGCAACAAAAAAAAGTCAGGTGTTGTGGCGCCTGTAGTCCCAGCTACTCTGGAGGCTGAGGCAAGAGAATCGCCTAAGCCCAGGAGTTGTAGGTTGCTGTGAGCTGTGTGATGCCACAGTACTCTACGAAGGGCAATAAAGCAAGACTGTCTCTACAAAAAAAACCCAACAAATTACAGAAGCATCTATATGGTACAATATCACTTATGTAAAATTTTAGAACCTGCAAAACTATACATTTATGGAGACTAGTATATACAAGAATGTGAGAAATGCATGAGAAAATGAGTCTAAAAGGAATGTCACATTTGGACTTACAGTCAACCTGGCCAACAGTCTGCTTTACTGTTTAATTACAAGTGTTTTTCCCCCCTTTTGGTCATTTTTTTAAAAAGATACTGATGTTGAAATAGGTAACAGTTACAGTCCTGGTTAGCTTGAGTTTTCTCTTGTTGCTGGCTCATTTTTGTGGTTCTATTTTTCTTTTTAGATGTCTATTATAGTATTTTTAATATTGTACTTGACTTGTCTTTATAATAAGTACCCCAGGGTTCCAACCTGTCCATGTTTTTTCTGAGTACAGTGAGACATTTCTTGGTATGTTTGGTAGTCTTTGTGAGGTTTTTCTGGTTGATACTAATCTATGGACAGAGCCCCTAAAGGGAGCATGCATTTCTCTAGAGAAGATTTGCTTTTGTTTCTGGGAGTCCAGAAACATCACCAACCTTGATCTATCTTTGTTCTCAGCTAGGATCCCCAGTTCAGTGTGGGTGGCTCCCTTCCCACCTTCTGATCATAGTACACACTGCTCATGGCTGGCCACTCCTGGCCACTCACTTGGCTCTTCAGAGCTCCCCTCCCTCCTGTCAACCAGCCCCTAGTAAGATCAAATTGATTTTTCATGTTCAGGGCACTCCGAAGTGTGAGTTAGCCTCACTCTGCTTCTTCTGTAAAATAGGGAGATTACTCTCTACTTCTACAAGGTCATTATAGGGATTACAGACAGTAAATGAAACCTTAAGTCACTGGTGCAGAATGACAGCTCAATGCCTATCTGCTCAAGTGCTCTCCTTGTGCCAGGGCACTAAGGGTCCAGCCTTCCTGTCCAGTGGGCCACCTTCCATTTCCACACTTACAGAGAGGCCAAAGGTACAACAGACAGCCCAAGGGCTTTATTTTTTTTATAAAACATGAAAACCCTGGTCCCAGGATGGGGGGGTAATGCTGGGGGTGGGAGGGAAGGAGTCAGTGGCCCCAGCATAGAAGCAAGGGGCCAGATCTCAGTCTCCTGCTGCAGGCTCCTTTTGGCTGGGCTTGGCTCTTGGCAAAAGGTTGTTTTTCTTGCCTGCAGCCCACCTGACACAGGCCCTGCAGGTGGGGAAAGCTGGGGCAGAAGGAAGATGTGGCCTGTGGCCATCCCTGAGGAGGTAGTGAGCAGTTCCTGGTTCCTCAAAGGCAACGGCTGGATGGGTGCCTGACTGAGGGGCCTTATGGTTCACTCACAGCTGCAGCCAGGCCACCCACTTCACCACCCCATTACTTGCTCACCTGCCTGCCATGCTCCTGCCTGATGCCAGCCCCTGGGAGACATCTGAAGGCAAGAAGGAAGGAGGCCCCTGCCTAAGCTTCTTCCTCCCTTCCTGGCCAAGTGGGAGGAGCAGCTGAGGCCATTCCTTTAACTGAAGAACCACAGAGGAGCTAGGAGCGGGCACCCAGTAAGGGTTATGAACAAACCTCTAAAAACCGTATCTGAACTAAAAGCATCAGTCCACCCCTAGCCCAGCTCTGGCGAGAATCCAAAAGGCAGCACTGAGAGCCAACCTGGCCTGGGTCTGAGCCCACACCTCTTCCCCAGGACAGGCCTGCACTGGGGCTAAGAGGAGGCTGCCTGGCAGGCCTATCTCCCGGGCTGAAGATGGTTGTGGAGCTGCTCTGCCTGCATCTTTAGGTGCTGGAATTCCTCCTGGATAAAGTCAGTCAGGGCCTTGCGCATCTCCACCTGAGGGAAAGGACCAGGGCTGGCATGTACTCCTCGGAGCAGAGAGACATGAGAGGAGAGAGGCCTGCCACCTGCAGCCCATAGCAGGGGCCAAGTGAGGAGGAAACTCACCGTTGACTTGTTCTCTGCCCGGAGCCGCTCAAGCACAGGGAGGGCACTGAAGGGCTTCCCGATCAGCACAGTGATCTTCTGTGGGGAGGCCAGCCACCAAGAGTGATGAGGACCAGAGGGAATGCCCACAGCCTTGAAGTGCTGTGTGCTCCCTCAGGGCCACTCTCCCTCTTTAAAATAAAGCAGTGGGGCTCAGTGGTGTCCAAGGGCCATCCTAGCCCTGGAATCTGTACTGTAGATGACTTGTCCTGTCACAACTCTAGAGCCTGACCCCGACCAAGCCTGAGTTCCTCTGCTCTCATTCTAACAGCCTCATATAACAGGAATTCCTTGTATATTTCCCACTCAGTCCCCCTGCTATAGCTTCAAGCTCAGATCTTCCTACATCTGTAGTGCTGAGTGACAGATACAGATAAAGGTCAGCAGCTGCTACCCACCTGTCCAAAACGGGGGAAGTAGGGCGGACTGTTAGGAAGGACATCATTCATTCCTGCAGCACAGTGGACAGAAGGCCAGATGTGGAGTGGAGCATCCTGGGACCAGACTCCCAGGCTCCCCACCCCAGATGCCCTCTCACTGCCACCGAGTGGAAAACAGCCCCCCCAACACTATCTAGGGAGGCTACTCTCCTTGTCCCCATGCTCACCAACATGCCACAGTGGCAGGATGATGGGGTCAAGATGACACTCAGCAATCAGGCGCCCGATTCCTGTCCAGGGGAGAGGGAGATACACTGACACAACCTAGGCCAAGCCTCTATGCCAGCCTACAGCCAGTGCCACCCCTCCCTAACATCCCCCAGGTAAAACCAGCTCCCCTGGGCTAGCCCTTTGTCTCAGTACCTGTCCCATCCCTGCTGCTACAATGCACCCATCTGCCACAGTGCAACCTAGCCCAGAGAGGGCAGGAGCCAGGGTCCTACAGGACTACCTCTGGGCTGGGAGGATGGCCATGCTCAGGGACCAGGAGCCCTTACCCCACTTGAAGCGCAGGAATTCAGAGCTCATGTTCACTTTCCCTGGTAAGAGAGCACACAGGTGAGGCCCAGCGGCCCATCCTGCTCACACTTGGGGGATTTGACCCAGCCAGCCCCACTGACCTTCTGGGAAGATGTGCACCCAGTCCCCATGGTTGAGCTTCTCCAAAATGAAGTCCATCCCCTTCTGATAGACGCCATCTCCTGAAGACAAAAGGCCTCTCCCTATCAGTCCCCATTTGGGGCTGGGGGTGTCAGCTTGCCCCAGTACACTCCAAACTTTAATGAAACAGGCCCTTGTCTCCAAGGATACAGGCATAGAGGAAGGAAGCAGCAGCTCAGGGACCTCCTCATGCCCCACTGTCCCATCCACATACCCTCCTGCTCAGCCCCTGGGCACACTGGGCTTCCTTCCTTCAACAATATCCCACAGACCTCAAGACATCTCCCACTGAGATTCTGAACTTGGCAATTTCTCCACCTACTTATAACCCCTCTTTCAGTGGCTCACCCGCTAAGACGCTTCAGCCACACACACTTGTACACCCTTGAAGGTCCCCAGGTCAGTTTGTTGCCTACCTTCCCTCCCCCAGCCTGGTCCCAGCTGCCAGTCGCCACTCTAGGAGCCTCCCTTTCCCCTTGGATGTGACACCCCAGGGTGATCCTACCATGTGATGCCCCTGGCCCAGAGGGCACTGCTAACGCAAACCAAGCTCAGCCTCACAACACCCTTTTCCTGGGATATCAGCCACTCCTCACAGGGCACTGTCTTGAGGCCTCAACCTTCACCATTCTTCTTCCTCCTGGGCCCTTCTTCTCAAGGACCCCCTGAAAACTAGACTTTCCCTTAGGGAGCCTCCTGGGAAATGGAAAACATTCAATTGAACACAAAGTTTGATCAAGAGCTTGGGAAAAACTCAACCTTGCTAGACTGATAAAAGTAGAGTCAAGCTTCCCCCAATTCTAGCAGCCTCCCACTTAGGAAATAGCCCGAAACCATGACACTGGATCCAAGAGAAAGAAATGCACACCTGGACCTAGGTGGCCCAGCAGTCAGCAACAACACAGATGCAAATGCCAGATGCTGTGTGCTGGCTTGCATCTTGGTGTTGCTTGGAGACAGTAAGTAACCCCGTAAGAATCTCATCAACCTTGAAGATGGAAAGTAATCATATGGTAGACAAAAGCAAGAAAGAGGAAGGGAGGAGGCTCAAGAAATGGAATACAGTAAATATCCTCATCAGGCGGGGAGTAAGAAGTCCTGCCAGAGGAAAAGAGATAGACATCAGGAATACCTCTGCCAAGTATACTAAGAAATGAACTTTTTTTTTTTTTTGTGAGACAGAGCCGCCCCCTGGGTAGAGTGCTGTGACATCACAGCTCACAGCAACCTCCAACTCCTGGGCTCAAGCGAGTCTCCTGCCTCAGCCTCCCAAGTAGCTGAGACCACAGGAGCCCACCACAACACCCGGCTATTTTTTGGTTGCAGCCATCATTGTTTGGTGGGCCAGGGCTACATTCGAACCTGCCAGCTTAGGTGTATGTGGCTGGCGCCAAGCCAAGAAATGAACTTTTAACTTGTTCTCTGTGAGGCCGATTGTCTGAAAAGTGCTAGTTCAGGATCTAGGAGCCTCAACCCAACCCAAATAGGGATCTGACCCAGCAGCTCATTCAGGGACTAGAGGTGGGGAGTAACTGATTACCCACTTAGGTCAAAGTAAGAGCAATGGGATTGCAGTACATAGTAGGGGATGGTCTTCATAGGTGCTGGTCCCTCTCTATTAAAGCCCACTAGTGCAACCTATCCGTTTAGCTTGAAATTGGAAATAAATAAAAATAGTTTTGGCTCAGCACTCATACACAGTGGTTATGGCACCAGCCATATATATCTGAAGGTGGTGGGTTCGAACCGAGCCCGGGCCAGCTGGGCCAGCTGTCACCAACAATGACAACTGCAACAAAAAATAGCCAAGCGTTATGGTGGGTGCCTATAGTCCCAGCTACTTGGGAGGCTGAGGTAAGAGAATAGCTTGAGCCCAAGAGTTTGAGGTTGCTGTGAGCTGTGATATCACAGCACTCTACTCAGGGCAACATAGTGAGATTGTCTCAAAAAAAATTTTTTTTCCTTTTGCCCTGAGTGAGGGACTCTTCTATAAATGAAACTTTATCCTGCAAGTGAGAATAATGTAACCTAAATATAGTACCTTCATATTAATTTGAATAAAGTTTAAAAATAAAATAAAAAGAACTCAGTAAATTGGCGGCACCCATGGCTCAGTGGATGGGGCATTGGCCACATGTGCCAAAGCTGGCAGGTTCGAACCTGGCCTGGGCTAGCTAAAACAACGACAACTGCAACAACAACAAAAATAGCCGGGCACTGTGGCAGGCACCTGTAGTCCCAGCTACTTGGGAGGCTAAGGCAAGAGAATCACTTAGGCCTAGAAGTCTGAGGTTGCTGTGAGCTATGATGCCACAGCACTCTACCCAGGGCAACAGCTTGAGATTCTGTCTTTAAAAAAAAAAAAAAAAAAAAAGAACTCAGTAATACTCTTTTGGAACAGCACTTCTTAATTTTTAGCTTTTTTTTTTTAAAGACAGAGTTTCACTATGTTGCCCTCACTAGAGTACCGTGGTGTCATAGCTCACAGCAACCTCCAACTCCTGGGCTTAAGTGATTCTCTTGCCTCAGCCTCCCAAGTAGCTGGGACTACAGGTGGCCACGACAATGCCCAGCTATATTTTTGTTGCAGTTGTCGTTGTTTAGCAGTCCCAGTTGGGCTTGAATCCACCAGCCTCAGTGCACATGGCTGGTGCCCTACCCACTGAGATACAGGTGCCAAGTCTTAATTTTTAGCTTTTGCAGATGCTATTGCTACTCACTTGTGTAAAATCACTTCAGTACTTAAGTATCATATGACAAAATTTATGCTTGGGGAAAAAGGAAATTTTTTAGAACTCAGAAGCTAAGTATATCAAATATGTTCTTTGCTTTAATCACGTGTTATTATTAGATCTTTGCTACACGTCAAATGGGTTTGATAAATAACTTGTCCACCTAGTTTCTCTCAACAAAGGTGCTTGGGATTTCACTTTTTTTTTTTTTTGACACAGAGTCTCAAGCTGTTGCCCTGGGTAGAGTGCCATGGAAACATAGCTCACAGCAACCTCAAACTTGGGCTCAAGAGATCCTCTTTTCTTGCTTTTTCTACTTTTAGTAGAGACAGGGTCTCACTTTTTCTCAGGCTGCTCTTGAATTTGTGAGCTCAAGCAATCCACCTACCTCAGCCTGCCAGAGTCATTTTCTGCTTTTAATTGTATAATAAAACCTAGATGCAGATGAAAAAGAATAAAAAAAAGAAATGGACATGGAAGTCCTCTTTCTGAGGTTGCAGAGAGGAAGAAGTAAGACTTGGGGACAGGGAATGAGTTAGCAGAGGCCCCACCTTTCAGAGTAAGTTGCAATAAATGACACCATGGTCACTGCTCAAAACATTGTGGCCTCTGATTATTCTCCTACAGAGATGGAAGTAGCCTCCAAAAGCAGCCAAAAGAGAAACCATTCCAAAGGGTTGTTTCTAGGGAAGTGGGACTAGAGATGTGAAGGGATAGGCACTGCAGTTTTCTATTAAAAGCTCTTTTGGGCTCAGTGCCTGTGGCTCAAGTAGCTAAGGTACCAGCCATACACCGGAGCTGGCGGATTTGAATCCAGCCCAGGCCTGCCAAACAACAATGATGGCTGCAACCAAAAAACAGCTGGGCATTGTGGCAGGCGCCTATGGTCCAAGGTACTAGGGAGGAGGAAGCAGGAGACTCACTTGAGCCCAGGAGTTGGCAGTTGCTGTGAGCTGTGATGCCATGGCATTCTACCCGGGGGGACAGCTTGAGGCTCTGTCTCAAAATAAATAAATAAGTAAATAATAAAAGCTCTTTTGATTCAACCTGAGAAATCGATATAAATAAATACAGACTGGGCACAGTGGCTCACACCTGTAATCCGAGCACTCTGGGAGGCACAGGTGAGTGGGTTGCTTGAGCTCAGGAGTTTGAGACTAGCCTGAGCAAGAGGAAGATCCCCTCTCTACTAAAAATATAAAAATTAGCTGGGTATTGTGGTAGGCAACTATTGTTCCAGCTACTCAGGAGGCTGAGGCAAAAGGATTACTTGAACCCAGGAGTTTGAGGTTGCTGTGAACTATGATGCTATCACACTATACCCAGTGCACAGAGTGAGACTCTGTCTCAAAAAAAATTAATACATATCCTTTTGTTATTTGTGTGTTACTTTATGGGGTTTTATCATGTTTTACTTAGACCAACTAGAAATAATAAACTTTCCCTTGACCTCTAATATCCTTTGGTTACTCCCTTCTGCACCACAACTGAACCTCTGGGAAGAGGGTCCTCCCTGCTGTTACTACTCTCCCACCCACTGCAGTGCCACCAGCCCTCTCAGGCCACAGCAGGTTGGCTTCTGTGGCTGTCACTCCATGAAAATGGCTTCTCCAGGGTCATCTGCAGTTCCTGTAGTCCCAAAGGCACCTGGTTTGCTTCTTTCCTCTCTGTCCATCATTCCCTGATGCCTTCATGTGCTTTGAGGAGCCATTTTGGGCCAATCCTCACTCTCTCCTCACTCCCGTCTCACCTCTGAGTTCATGACTTTGATATTGTGGTTGAATCCCCAATATCTTTATTCCTGATCATTCTTCTGAGTTCCAGAACTGCATATCCCACTGCCTCTGGGACTGTTCCCCTTGCACAGGTGACAGGCTCCTTAGGCTTGTCAGATGCAGCATGTGCATAATGGGACTCACTCTCTTCCCTCCCACCCCTCATGCTGTGGGCCCCTTGTCCCATCCTCCTGGAGGCTTAGGCCAAATACCTGGTGTCAGCTTTGAGTTCTCTTTTCCTTACCCTGTCCCACCTCTAACCTATGTACAAGTCCTACTAACTCTGCCTGCAAAGCATATCCCAAGGCAGTCCTTCTCTAAGCCCTCCATAGTGACCCCTGAAAGCCCAGCCACAGTCATCTGTTGCCGGAATTACTGTGACAGCCCTGAACCAGGGTCCCTGCCTCCACCCCACCTCCTGCTCCCCTTATAGCAGCCATGCTGCAGCCAGGATGCTTTCTCTGAACCACAGATGCAGGCATGCTATCACTCTAATAAGATATCAGAGCCCAAAATTCTTTTTTTTTTTTTTGAGACAGAGTCTCACTATGTCACCCTCACTAGAGTGCTGTGGCGTCACAGCTCACAGCAACCTCCAACTCTTGGGCTTAAGAAATTCTCTTGCCTCGGCCTCCCAAGTAGCTGGGACTATAGGCGTCCACCACAACACCCAGCTACTTTTTTGTTGTTGCAGCTGTCATTACTGTCTAGCTATCCCAGGCCAGGTTCGAACTTGCCAGCCTCCATGTATGTGGCCAGCACCCTATCCACTGAGCTACAGGCACCACCACCACCAGAGCCCAAAATTTTTAACAGAACTGTTCCAGAACTTTCACATTCTGTCCACAACCTACATTTCCTACCTTTCTGTCTTATCTCTCCAGCACCTGGCATGTGCTTGCCCATGTTTAGAACACCCTTCCCCACAATCTCTGCTTGGGAAACTTCTGCCAACCCAGAGAAAAGAGCAATCTAGATTCAAAGCCTGGCTTTAGGGCCAGGTGCAGTGGCTCACACTTGTGATCCTAGCACTTGAGAGGCCAAGGCGGGTGGATTGACTAAACTAGGTTCAAGACCAGCCTGAACCAGAGCAAGACCTCATCTTTAAAGTAATCAGGCATCACGGCAGGTGCCTGTAGTCCCAGCTACTTGGGAGGCTGAGGCAAGAGAATCACTAAAGCCAAGAGTTTGAGGTTGCTGTGAGCTATGACACCATAGCACTCTACCAAAGGTGACAAAGTCAGACTACGTCTCAAAAAAAAAAAAAAAAAACAAAGCCTGGCTTTACCATCTCCCAACTCATGACCTTGGACCAGCAGCTTAATCCCTCTAAGCACTCCATCTGGAGAATGGGGATCAAAATGGGCCCTGCCTCCTAGCATTCATCCCATAAGTCTATTCTCTTGGAAGCAAAACTCTGGCCTCCCAGTACATGCCACCACCATCACATACTGAAGACAACACACAGTTGTCCCTGAGTCTCCCAGTGACCTCCTGAAAGAAGGGGCTATGAATAATGACTCCTCGAATTCCAAAGCCAGAGCTCCAGCCCCACATGGTCTCTGGGCAGATGCAGAGACTGAGGGCTCTCTAAGAAGCTTTCCCTCCTCCAGCAGCCTCTGCCCCCTCTGCTGCCACATGATGGAACTGGGCCTTACACTGGCTCCTAGGCTGCCTGTCCCCATGGATCCTTCCAAGACAGAGGGCCTGGCCACCAGCCTCCCTGACCTAAAAGCACCCCCGGGTGGAGCAGCTCACCTCGGCACACAGGCACACACTTGCCCAAGCTGAAGAAGTGGGAGTGCAACTCCTTGGTGAAGCAGATATCTGCAGCCGCAGGGGTCCTGGAGCAGGGACAGATATAGTCAGTCCTGCCTCTTCTCTAGCCTGCTGCCCTGCCTCACCCCCGGCATGAGACCTGACATTACTGGCATGCAGAGGGAAGCACAGGAGGGTCTATAAGGGCCCCACCCCATGCCCTGCCTGGACTGCTGGACACCACCTCCTGGGCAGTGCAGGAGGAGGGCCAATCTGGGCAGAGATGGGTGGGGGCTGCCGAGCCCACTGTGAGGGGCCCATTCCTCCTCACCAACGCATCAACTTCAGGTTCCAGATGTGGCGGAGTTTCAGGATCCCTAAAGGAGAAGAAAGTCTTTGTGCCCCAAATTCTCTTGTCCCCAGGTAGTGTCCCTTCTGTCATCCCATTTCAGAAAATGAGGGACAAGGGTAGCAGCACTACCATTTCCCTGTAGTCCAAAGCCCACTGTTTAAGACCTTTGGACCCCCCATTTTCTCCCTGGCTCTTCTCTCTCCACCACCCTGTATGTCAATCACTGCATCTGGTCTACCTACTTCTCTAATATATTTTGACAATGCCCACTCTTCTACACTGCTATCAGCCTAATCCATCCAGGCTTTTAGACAGCTTCAAGGCCGCCCTCCTGGCCTCCCAGATTCATCTGTGGCATCCTACGGGCCATTCTCCACCCAGCAGCCACAGTGGGCTTTGAAGGGCTCCAGTGTGGCCAATTGGCCTCCTATGAGCTCTAGGACAGCCTAACCCCTACTTTCAGATGTGGAGGCCCTAGGCACCCCTCCACCCAGGCACCTGGTTATTGGAGCCAAGCAACTTCCTGTGAAGTAAGCACAACAGGAACTTCTAAGTGTAGCAACCAAGCTCCTACATGGGGCTGGTTGAAGGCTACAAGCCTAGTTGGTGGCAACCTGGAACCAGGACACAGGTCTTCCAGCCCCTGGCCCAGATTCCTCAGTGGTATACCCTGTGGTCCCCAGCTTCTTCCCAAGATTCTGTGAGACCTTCAACAACTTAGAAAACAAATATTTCCACGGGCCTGATATTAGAGTAAAAAGCTGTCAGACCTTACCATGGGGACATTTCCTCATTCCTCCTAAATTTCTCAGTCCCTCTCCAAATCACGGTCCCTGAGGCAAGACATCAGAAACAAGAGTCCCAGGGCTACACACAGAGCCCTCTGAGAAGCCAACTTGTCCTGCTTTTGCTCGGCTCCCTCCAGAGATGTCCCCTTTTCCTCCCCATGCCCGAAACACTGGCCCAGGTACCCCAGAGATGAGGGTCGTCCATGCAGGACTGGTGATTGGAAACGGTGATGAGAGGGGTGGCAGGGCCTCGGTTCTCGATCAGCTCGTACAGCACCTCCTTGTTGTGGACAGTGAGGTGGTTCATGTACTCTGCGGGGAGACAGGGACGGAGGGATCTCAGCCTCCTTCTCCCCATTGGGCCCTGGGGTCACCCCGCCAGGCTAGCCCCTACCAGCGCCCCCAACCCCAAGCTCCAACTCAGGACAGGCGTGAGGATCCGTGACAGACGCTGCCTTGGCCTCGGGCCCACTCACTGGTCCAGAAGCAGCTGTAGGTGCCCACCAGGCCCATGACGACACTGCTGGCCAGGGTCCAGGTGAGTGGCGGCACCGCGGGGAACGGCCATTTCACGTTTAGGGGCATCTCTCCCAGCGACCGCCGGTGGCGACCAGAGGCTTCCCTCGCCACCGGGCAGCCCGTGGGGCCACTCTAGGTCTGTGTCCTCAACCGCTCAAAAGGGTCTCTGCCAGGCCCGCGCACAGATAGGCGCCGCGGCACGTCGCGACACAGGACTCGACTAAGGTCACCTCGCGGGTTAGTCCAGGGGAGCGCTTGGCCCTGCTCTCTCGACGCAAGGAGCCGCTACTGGGGTCAGAAGACGGGGTCGCAGCAAGCAGGGGAATAGTCACCGAAAGCCGACGGGGGGATGCCGCCGGCCCCACGCACCGCCGGAAAGCGAGCGCGCGAGGGCACCTGGCTCCCCATCGTCTGTCGCAAAATGCACCCGCGCTGCTTGACGGCAGAGGGGGCGATCCCGAAGGCTGCTTGGCCGGGGCCCCGCCCCGCCCTGGCGCTGATGCTGCTGTCCCTTTTGTCTCTCTAATTCATCGGCAGAAAATTCTCTGCAGATGACATGGGCTGCTGCGCAGTACGATTATCAGACACCGCGTAAAGCTGGGCTGGCGGAGCACTTCCACTTCATTTGGGTTTTTTTCCCATTTACTTCTTTTTAAAATTTCCCTTTCTTTTCTTTTTTTCTTTCTCTCTTTTCTTACACAATCTCACTCCGTCGCCCTGGATAGAGTACAGTGGCGTCATAGCTCACTGCAACCTCAAACTTTTGAGCTCAAGCTATCCTACTGGCTAAGCCTCTCCAGTTAGTTTTTCTATTTTTAGTAGAGTCAAGGGTCTCGCTTTTGCTCAGGCTGGTCTCAAACTCCTGAGCTCAAGGGATCCTCCTGCCTTGGCCTCCCAGAGTGACATGAATACAAGCCTGAGCCACCTTGCCCAACCTAAGGAATCTGTTTAATGTTTACTATGATGATTGATAATGTTGCTGATGCATGCTTTTACTGAAGGGGATATACAAGAAACAGGAAAGCAGAACAGCTCTCTGAGGAGATACACTCACTGTTCTCCAGAATTGCTGGCTTTTCTGTAAATATAAGTGGGACTGTTAACTGGGCCTAGTAGCTCACACCTGTAATCCCAGCACTCTGGGAGGTGGGTGGATCGACCAGCCTGAGCAAGAGCAAGACACGGTCTCTACTAAAAATAGCTGGGCATTGTGGCATGCCCCTGTAGTCCTAGCTACTTGGGAGGCTACGGCAAGAGAATCTGTTAAGCCCGAGAGTTTGAGGTTGTGACCCTTCTGTGACCCCACAGCACTCTACCAAGGGCTACAAAGTGAGACTTTGTTTAAAAAAAAAAAACCCAACTGGGTTGTGACAGGGGCCTGTAGTCCCAGGTACTCAGGAGATTGGCACAAGAGGATCTTGGACTTAAGCCCAAGAGTTTGAGGTTATTGTGAGAAATGATGCCACAGCACTTTACTGAAAGCAACAGAGTGAGACTCTCAACAAACAAAAAGGTGGAATGAATTGTTGATCTTCTATCTACTTTTCTGTTAATTGGTTTGGGTGACAGGCAGACGGACTTATTGGTCCCAACACATATTTTGGTGACCATGAAGGGACTATCAGCTGGGCAGTTTGGTGGCCCCTGCCACTCTGCCTGGACAGGTGAGACTGAAACATGCCTCCCTGCCACTCATTGTCGTGACCCGTCGGGCTCCTATGGCCCTGGTCTCGGTTAGGGCAGGAAGGAACCAGGCAAGAGGCAGATTAGAAGTACAAGCTTGTAGAAGGAGGGCTAGCCCTTACTTTCCGGGTAGCCCCGAGCAACCTCCGCACCAGCCTTTTATTGAAAGGGAATGATACAGGTGAGGGGAGTAATTAATAATGACTACGTGCTGAGGGCACGGGCTCCTTCTCCATAAGGAGCTCCTGTGGACAAGTTGCCCGAGAGGCCACCCCTCAGCTGTAAATCATCTTGCTTAGAGGTCATCTGTCCTCTACACCTTATAGCACTGCCAGAATACTTTTTTTCTGGGAATAGCTGGTGTAGTGTCCTCCTGCTCTCGCTGTCACCTTACATTTATAAAGAGATCCTTTTCACTTTCATTTAGGTGTGTGCAGGGGTTAGAGTCCCTGTCTGATTGTGCACAAGGATTGGAGTCCCCGTCTGGTTGTATAGGTGTCTGTGTTTCTGTGGAACACAACCATGGGGATTCAGTTGTCAGTTCAGGGGATAGCTTCTTGGACTGTATCCTATCTGATTGTCCATCTCATGAGTATCCACCAATGACCAAGAAAAAGTTGAAGATTTACTGTAATATGGCCTGACCTATGTACAATCTTAAAGGTAAAGAGAAATGATTAGTAAATGGATCCTTGAATTACTATACTTTTCTACCATTAGACAGAACTCTTTTGTCAGAGATCAGGGAAATGGGATGAGATCCCCTATGTTCAAACTTTTATTTTTGTTCGTGTACACACCTGGTATCTATCTTTGTGTGTATTGTATTTGTCCCTGTTTTTGTTTATATACACCTCGAGGAAAGCCTATTGGGATGAATCCTGTCTGATTGGGCCACTTAATGGATATTACTCTCTGACTAAAAGGAAATTATTATTATTTTTTGAGACAGAGTCTCACTTTGTCACCCTGGGTACAATGCTGTGGCATCATAGCTCACAGCAACCTCAAACTCTTGGGCTTAAGTGATTCTCTTGCCTCAGCCTCTCAAGTAGCTGGGACTATAGACGCCTGCCACAATGCCCAGCTATTTTTAGAGATGGGGTCTCACTCTGGCTCAGGCTTGTCTGAAACCTGTGAGCTCAGGCAGTCCACCTGCCTTGGCCTCCCAAATGCTGGGATTAGGAGGCCTTAAAAGGAAATTATTAATAACTTCCTATTGTAACACTGTTTAGCCTATGTATTTTTTTTTTTTGAGGTAGAGTCTCACTATGTCACCCCCGTTAGAGTGCTTGGCATCACAGCTCACAGCAACCTCCAACTCTTGGGCTTAAGCGATTCTCTTGCCTCAGCCTCCAAGTAACTGTTGTGGCAACTGCCACAACATCTAGCTATTTTTTGGTTGTAGTTGTCATTGTTATTTGGCAGGCCCGGGCTGTATTCAAACCTGCCAGCTCCAGTGTATAAGGCTGGTGCCCTAGCTGCTGAGCTATAGGCGCCAAGCCGTTTATGTATGTTTTGAGCTCTGAAAAAAGATGATCCCTTGAATGGTTCCTTGAATTATATTTAAATTGTTTTGTCAATGATCAGAGAAAAGAAATGAAATTCCATATATACAGCTTTTATGTCTTTTTTTTTTTTTTTTGAGACAGAGCCTCAAGCCGTCCCCCTGGGTAGAGTGCCGTGGCACTACAGCTCACAGCAACCTCCAACTCCTGGGCT